CGGCGACATCATCGGTGGTGGTGGCATCCATCACCACCTCAACGGCGGCTCAACCTCTAACTCCAGTTCCGCCTCTAGTCGAACTAACTCCGCAGCGGAACGCCTTCGACAGGCAGTTCGGGACGGTTATGTAGAGCTGCTGAGAGAGGCCACGCGAAGGGAGTGCAATGCCGCCGATGAGGACGGCATGACGGCGGTCCACTGGGCCGCCTACTCGGGCAGCCTCGATGCGCTGCGCATCATCGTTGGCCGAGGGTAAGCAACACAACAGCAAAAACCGTTTCTTTTGACTATTTTGACCCATTTTCAAAACCCTTTCTACTTCTTCTACTTCTTCTTTCAGAGGTGACCCCGGTCGGTGTGACCTGTTCGGCAATACCGCCCTTCACTGGGCGGCGGCGAATGGCCACCTGAAGGCGGCCTCCTTTCTCGTCTCCTTTGGAGTGAATCTCTGGGCCCTCGATAATCAACTTCACAGTGCGAAGGAGGTGGCCGCGCTGAACGGCCGCGAGGAGGTGGTGCAGTACCTGGACGCGGTCACCGCCCAGCAGTGTACTCTGACCAGCAAAGCGAAGGTGGCCAAGGCACAGGAGCGGGCATTGGCGGAGGCGGAGAAACGTATCCGAGCCTATCAGAAGCTGGTAAACAAAGCAGGGAAAGCGGCGGAGAAGGAGGCCAAGGCGGCGGAAAAGCGGCGCAGGAAAAGCCTCTGCGAGCTGACGCTGCAGACCAGTGCCGGTCAAAATGGAGATAATCACGACCATCACCATCACCACCTCATCTACGACACCTGTGACCTCAACCACAATCACCACCCTCATCACCTTCACCATGAACCAAACAATCACATCTACGAGCTTCTCGAGTCATCAGATGGGAAAAAGTTGCACCACCACTCCTCAACGATCTCCTCCACCAACACCTCCTCCTCCTCTTCGATGATGAAGTTCTCTGAGCTCGTCAATGCCAGCGTAAAGACTTCTTCCGCTAAAACGGTGGGCGGGACGATCGGCTCGAGGATGAAGATACTGTCCGGAGTGTCAAAGAGGGTGCTCATTAGGAACAACAGCAAACCTCAGCAGCAACAGCAGCTTCAAAATTCTACAAACTCAACTGACACTTTACGGTCAAATGATTCGAGTAGATCTTGCACCAATTCAACGCTAGTGCGTGGCATTCGCCGAGACGACCAGATTACCTACGTTCCTCGACTCTACGGCTCGCTTAGTGTCAGCAATTTGGTGGTGGCGGTTGAGGAGGATGATCACCTCTACAATAACCATCAAAACCCAAATCATTGCAAAGTGCACCATCAACTTTCATCCCCATCACTGCAGCAGCCAAACGGGAGGTTACACCTGAAGGACGTTTTTCACGACAGTGCTGAACTGAGTTCAGCCGCTGATAAGACGCTGCTAGAAAGCGGCGGCCACCTGAAGGTGGGCACCTTCAACAAGCACAACAAAACCTCAATCAAAAGCAAGCTGCTGAGCAGACTCAACTACCAAAAGTCAAAGCTGTCAAAACCAAACAACTCCTCCTCCTCTTCCTCCTCAACAAACTCTCAAGGAGGCTCACTCTATCGAACGCACTCGGAGCCAGATTTTGCGATGTTAAACTTTGAAAATAAACACCAGAAGCCATCTTCAAACGGCTATCAAACACTGAGTTCCGAAACGTCGAGCATCTTTGAGCGACCTGGCTTTGGCTCGGTGGCCTTTCGAGGAAAGTTCACTCCTGAGTCGCTCTTCTTTACCTCATCCTCTTCCAAAACCAGCAAACCTCACAAACATAAGAGTAGCCGAAATCGTAACTACTACTCAGCAGCCACTGACAGTGCTGGAAACAGTGATGAGGAAGAAGAGGAGGAAGAAGAAGAAATCGAGGAAGATGAAGAAGATGAAGTCGATTCCGGTCACGACCACAGTCACACCGACCACAGCAGCCTGGGCCGAAGTAGCGGCGGCAGCAGGAGCACCAGCGGAGAAAGCAGTCTGACGGCAGTCCACAAAAAGTACCTCTCGACGACCAATCTGATGATAAATGGCTGCAGCAGCACTGATAAAACAACAAAAATCACTACCACTTCTGTTTCTGAAATTGTTGGAGGTGGTGGTGACCACAGCAGCTTCGCCAGCGACAGCATCGGCAGCGCCGGAAGTTTGGTCCTTCAGGAGGATGTGGAAGAAGATTGTGTGGACTTGCTAAACTTAGAGGACGACCTTCACGATCACCACGAGTTTGACCTGGAGGAGAGTGGAGAAAACCTCCGCAAAGAGAAAGGAGGCCATCACCCCCATCATCATCACCTTCTGTCCAAAGGAGACAACAACAATGGTGGTGCTCTTTGCGCTTCAAAGTCAATTCCAGTGCTGCTCTTCCTGTACGCGCAAGGTCTTCGCCAGTACTACGACGTCTTTGAGGCGGAGGCGATTGACATTGAGGCGCTGATGCTGCTCACCGAGGCGGACTTTGTCTCGCTGGGCATTCCCCTCGGGCCACGACGGAAGCTGCTCAATGCCATTCGCCAGCGGAGACGANTCCAAAGGAGACAACAACAATGGTGGTGCACTTTGCGCCTCAAAGTCAATCCCAGTGCTGCTCTTTCTGTACGCGCAGGGCCTTCGCCAGTACTACGACGTCTTTGAGGCGGAGGCGATTGACATTGAGGCGCTGATGCTGCTCACCGAGGCGGACTTTGTCTCGCTGGGCATTCCCCTCGGGCCACGACGGAAGCTGCTCAATGCCATTCGCCAGCGGAGACGACTGCTGGGCGGCGAGGATTCAGCTGTGACAGCAAATTCTTCATCGGGAACGGGTAAATCGACAAAAACGGAAAGCTCTCAAGTCAAGCACAGTAGTGATGATGGAAAGCCGTGCAGCAAAGTCTTTGAGACGAAGCTTTAGATTGATCGAGGAAAAAACAATGGAGAAAAAGTATTCTCAACGTGAGGACACACATCTTACAGTTTTGATTGAACAGAACTCCTTTTTTGTACAATTTTTTTGCCCTGTGCACTTTTTTCGTTTCCTCTGTTTTGTTACAAAAGAGCGGCGACAAATTGATTTGGTGGCTGCTGTTGCCGTATTTTATTATTGTCTTGTCTTTTCTTTTTTCGTTGACCTTTGTCTGCCTTTCAGCAAACTCTAATAAATAAATTATTTTCATTTTTGCAACGACTTTGCTGCTTTTAATTATTATTTTTATGTTATTGCTTCTGTTGCTGTGTGG